GCAACCTAAGTGAAAAATTGAATGAAGGACAATTGTGTATATAGCACAAGAAGCCCTTTTAACATTTTATAACATTTCCAGTGTTAAGAGTTATTTTGCTTAATAGGGTAGAAAAACACAGAAGATGGTTTTAGCGGAATAAAAAACAGAACATAAAGGATGGACTGATAATAGAGGTTTACATATATTTTGATTCATGCAAGTCAGTTAGCTAGCATTTGTTTTTATTAATACGTACTTGGCTCCATTATATCCTGTGCAACACATAAACATGTTCACCTTATGATGAAATGACTGATTTTAAATGCCATTTTCTTAATCTCTTTCATTTTTTGTAAAGCACTTTGAATTGCCTTGTGTTGAAAAGTGCTATATAAATAAACTTGCCTTGCCTTGCCTTGCCTTGCCTTATGTAATAAATTGTAAAACAATGCATGTCATGTGTAAGAAAACAGCTGTGAGCGAAACGACAGGACAGGATAATTCAAGGTTAGCAGGAAAATATTAAACGTTTTGCACTCAAACATGATTTCTTTGATACTAAGTCGATTTTTAGATTTTCTTTGCCCTCCACGTTTGATCCTTTGTCTTTACAGTGCCCTCCCTCTGTTTTAAATCCAAGAGCTTGTATGCTGAGGGATGGGGGGTTTGCTCGTTCCATGGAGCGCTACCTTGTTCCAGAGTGCCCAAGAGGGCCATATCTGTCATAGCACATTCCAGTGTGCAGGCATTTTGTGATTTTGAGGCTATTTCAGTGAAACAAGGCTGTTTTGAACATTTGACAGATTTATGCTTAATTCTCTCAAAAAAGGGTACCGAAAGATACACTTTTCTTTTTAAAAAGCTGACCACTACCATGAAAGTACTCTGTTTTATTAGATTTCGTCAAGAATCTGACTCTTAATGGCAGTTTGTGATTTTGAGGCTATTTCAGTCAAGCAAGGCTGTTTTGAACATTTGACAGATTTATGCTTAAATTCTCTGATAAAGTTACTGAAAGATACACTTTTGTGTATAAAAGCTGAAAAGTAGATAATGAAGTACTTTGTATTAGTAGATTTGGTTAAGATTCTGACTCTTAATGGTCCTCTCTAAATTTGATTCAGGGTTTGTTTTAAATGATTTGTGTTTTGTGTGTACAGACACACAGAAAAACACTGAAAAACACAAAAAGAAGGACTGTAATACACATGTATCAGACACGCCCCCCTTGCTATAATGAAGACAACAGTTTTTAAATGTAAAAAACCACTTTTTTATTTTTTCACACACAAAAATCAAATAGTTATACTGATTGGGAGCAATCCAGTTTTGTTGACATCACTGCTTTATTCTCTTTTCTTGTGTTACTAAGATACTTTTAGTTACACTTTAATGGATGCAAACCTTTTTAACCGGGTAAAATATTCATTAATTTGTAAGGAATTTGTTTTCTTTATGTCTCTCTAAAAGGCAAGTTTGTGATTTTAACACTGTTTCGATGAAACACAGCAGTCTTGATAACTTGACATGACTAACATTACTTTTTACATTACATTACATTGCATTTAGCTGACGCTTTTATCCAAAGCGACTTACAATAAGTACATTCGACCAGGAAGACACAACCTTGAAGAAAACAGAATCATATAAGTACATCAGGTTTCATAGAGCCAAACATTTCAAGTGCTACTCAACTGGCTTTAGATAAGCCAGTCCTTTATTAGTATATAAGTGCTTTGTTAATAAATCTATCGCTTGAAGTGGAGTCGAAAGAGATGAGTTTTCAGTTTGCGCCGGAAGATGTGCAAGCTATCTGCTGTCCTGATGTCAATGGGGAGCTCATTCCACCATCTTGGAGCCAGGATAGCAAACCCACGTGTTTTTGCTGATGGGAACTTGGGTCCCCCTCGCAGCGAGGGTGCAGCGAGTCGTTTGGCTGATGCAGAGCGTAGTGCACGTGCTGGGGTGTACGGTTTAACCATGTCCTGGATGTACGAAGGGCCAGATCCATTCGCAGCATGGTAAGCAAGTACCAGTGTCTTGAAGTGGATTCTAGCTGTTACCGGAAGCCAGTGAAGGGAGCGGAGGAGCGGAGTAGTGTGGGAGAATTTAGGAAGGTTGAAGACCAGACGAGCCGCTGCATTCCGGGTGAGCTGCAGAGGTCGGATGGCACATGCAGGTAGACCAGCCAGGAGGGAGTTGCAGTAGTCTAGGCGTGAGATGACGAGAGCCTGGACCAGAACCTGCGTCGCTTTCTGTGTCAGCTGGGGACGTATCTTCCTGATGTTGTAAAGCGTGTATCTGCAGCAACGGGTTGTAGCAGCGATGTTTGCAGTGAAGGACAGGTTGTTATCTAGGGTCACACCCAGATTCCTTGCAGTCTGAGTCGGGGAAACAACTGAGGTGCCGATGTTGATTGTTAGGTCAAGAGTGGGACAATCTTTTCCCGGAAGGAAGAGCAGCTCAGTCTTGTCAAGGTTGAGCTTGAGGTGATGAGCAGACATCCACTGAGAGATGTCAGCTAGACAAGCAGAGATGCGTGCGACTACCTGGGTCTCTGAGCGGGGAAAGGACAGAATTAATTGGGTGTCGTCAGCGTAGCAGTGGTATGAAAAACCATGCGGGCTAATGACTGATCCGAGCGAGTTTGTGTACAGGGAGAAGAGGAGGGGACCAAGAACAGAGCCCTGAGGGACCCCTGTAGTTAATTGACAAGGGTCGGACTCAAACCCTCTCCAAGTCACCCTGTAGGTACGGTCTTTGAGGTATGAGGTGAGGAGGGAAAGTGCAGAGCCTGAAACTCCAAGTTTTTGGAGAGTGCGAAGGAGGATCTGATGATTCACCGTGTCGAATGCAGCAGACAGGTCCAACAGGATGATGACAGAGGAGAGGGATGCAGTTTTGGCAGTGTGCAGTTCCTCCGTGACAGCAATGAGAGCAGTTTCTGTGGAATGACCTGCCTTGAAACCAGACTGGTGCGGATCCAGAAGGTTGTTCTGATGGAGATAACAGGAGAGTTGTTTAAAGACAGCGCGTTCAAGTGATTTAGACAGGAACGGGAGTAGAGAGACAGGCCTGTAGTTTATAACATCTGACGGGTTGAGAGTGGGTTTCTTTAGGAGAGGGTTTACTCTTGCCTCCTTGAGACTGTTTGGAAAGTGACCAGAAGTTAGAGAAGTGTTGATGAAATGGGTGAGAAACGGTAGAATATCAGGAGCGATAGTCTGAAGTAGGTTCGAAGGGATGGGGTCCAGAGGACAGGTGGTAGGGCGGGCAGAGGTAATGAGGGTAAGAACCTCACTTGGAGAGAGAGGGGGAAAGGAGGTTAGTGTGTGGGTGGAAGGAGGGTCTGGTGACACAGCGGTGAGTAAAGGTGAGTCAGAAAAAGAAGAGCGAATATCATCAACCTTTTTTTCAAAATGGGTAACAAAGTCGCTTGACAGAAGTGAGGAGGGGGGAGGGGCTTTTGGAGGGTCCTAGAGGGTGGAGAAGATGGAAAATAGTTTTTTGGGATTGGAATAGGAAGATTGGATCTTATCTTGAAAGAAAGTGCTTTTTGCCTGAGAGATCGAAGCCGAGAAAGAGGAGAGGAGAGCCTGATAGGTTAGGAGGTCGTCACGGTGTTTGGATTTCCACCGTTTCCGCTCTGCTGCCCTAAGGACGGTTCTATTAGCACACAGTGCATCATTTAGCCAGGGAGCAGGAGGGGACTGACGAGCCTGCCGAGATGTGAGAGGACAGAGAGAGTCCAGAGTGGATGAGAGAGTAGAGAGGATAGTTTCTGCAGCAGAGTTTGGAGGTAGTAGTTGGAACGAGTCCGAGGAAGGGAGGGCTGAGAGCACCGATGAGACAAAGGTAGAGGGGGAGAGGGAACGAAGGTTACGGCGGATAGGTGCAGGATGAGAAGAGATTAGTTTGTTATGTTTGGAAAGGGGTAGAGAGAATGAAATGAAGAAGTGATCGGATTTGTGGAGCGGGTTTACAGAGAGGTTAGAAGTAGCGCAGTTCCTTGAGAATATGAGATCAAGGACATTGCCAGCTTTATGAGTCGGTGGGGATGGAGACAGTGAGAAAGCAAAGGCGGTTAACAGAGATGTTAGTTCGTCTATCTTCCCTGTCTGGAGGTTGAAGTCTCCGAGAAGTACAGCGGGAGGGCCAGTTTCAGGGATGTGAGGAGATTATCTAATTCCTCCAAGAAGTCCCCCAAGGCGCCTGGTGGACGGTAGAGAACAACAATGGTTAATTGTATAGGATGGGTTACTGTGACGGCATGGAATTCAAAGGTGGAAGGAGTGAAGTTAGGTAGCTTGAAGAGGGAAAAGCTCCATTTGGGAGAGAGCAGGAGACCAGTGCCACCTCCTCTGCCAGTTGGTCTGGGTGTATGGGAGAAGGAATATGCTGTGGAGAGAGCTGCTGGGGTGGATGTGTTGAATGGAGTAATCCACGTCTCATGCCCCGGCCACACGAGGACGAAAACGGCCGTTTGCGTTACTGTTTAGTGTCATATAGACCATTCGGCCACACGAGGACGACCGAATACGGCACTAAACGACTGAGGAAATGACAACGGGTCTCAAGGTGGATAGAACGGCATACGCAACGCTCTGGGGGGTCAAACGGCTCCGTGTGTACACCCTATACGAACATGTTCTGATAGTGATAGCAATAGCCCCGCCTCTCCCCACCTCTTCTGCTCACCTCCGCTTACCCCGCGCCATTGCTGATGTGTTTCGCCACCAACAACAACAACAACAACAATGGCGGATCGCAGAGTTGCTATCGTGCTCCGGACGCTACTGACCATGCTACAGTTGTTTGTGCAACATCTACAGCAGACCCTCCATCAGCAAAAACAGGACATGGAGAACATGACCTACATATTGCTAACACTACAGCGGGGAATAACCAGAAGGGCAACCAGGCGAAGATTTTGGGTAAGACCGGGCAGAAGCAGCACTTGTTGGGACAATTTTGTCAATGGCGTTGTCGTGGATGATGAATGGAGGGAGAACTTCCGCATGTCCAGAGCCTCTGTCGTCGCCCTGACCGAAGAACTGCGCCCATATATCGAAAAGAAAACATCCAACATGAGGGCACCGATTGATCCACTGAAAATTGTTGCGTTAATGCTGTATTACCTGAGCGATGGGGGAAGGATGCGGAAGACTGCTAACGCCTTCGGGGTTTCGCGCCAGGCTTTGTCCCTCATTATTAGGCAGACATGCAGAGCGATCTCCATCCACCTGGGTCCAAAATATATCAAGCTGCCTTTTACTGAGCCCGAGACCGCGGATCTGGTTGAGGGGTTCCATTGTGCGCATCGCATGCCACAATGTTTAGGAGCAGTGGACGGAACCAACATCGAAATCAAGCAGCCATCTAACAACTCCACTGACTACATCAATAGGAAAGGCAGATATTCCCTTAATGTACAGGCCGTCTGTGATTACAAATACCGATTCATGGATGTCGTGGTAAAGTGGCCTGGGATTGTGCATGATGCACGGGTCTTTGCTAACTCAAAGCTAAACATGTACTTGAAAACTGGAAAGATCCCTGCTCTGAGAAAACAGATTGTGGATGAGGAGGAGGCCATACCAATGTATCTTCTTGGGGATCCAGCCTACCCGCTGCTGCCGTACCTGATGAAGGAATATGCAACCGGTGGCTCCACAGTTCAGGAACAGTACTTTGGGCTAACTTTGTGTATGGTCATTGAGTGTGCTTTTGGTCGCCTCAAGGCCAGATTTGCTGCACTCAGAAGGCCTATGGACATAAACATGGATGAACTGCCCCATGTCATTTACTCCTGCTTTGTCCTCCACAATTTTTGTGAGGCCAGTAAGGAGGCTGTGGATGATCAATCTGTGGTGGGAATAATTCAAGGTGAAAGGGATGTACAGCCTCCCACACAGAGCAATAGGTATCTCACTGACTGTAATGAGGGGGAGGGAAAGAGAGTGAGGAGAGTGCTTACGGCTTACATTGACCCTTAGGACTACATAAAAGACAGACTGTATTTTTTTACAGTCTGTCTGTAGTATTTTTTTTGGGAAGGTTACTGTGTTAAGATCTAATAAACATTCTTTGTTACATTCACTGTGCAGCTCCTTCAGTGACAGTTTTTGTTGTTGTTGTACTTAGTACTTCTTAATGTATGTAACATTACGCTACAAAATATGTGATTCTCCAATGTTCAAAGTGTGAAATTAAAAATAAAATTGGCTGCAACTACTTCCAGACTTTCTTTGAACATAAAGTGCAACAAATGTGCAAACGCAGTATCATATATATTTATACTTTCCCATAAGGACCCAACGTGGCACGGTGTCACATGAACTTTAATGGTCTGGAAAGCTCCTTATAAAGCTTTAGCCTTTATTTTATCTCATTACATTACATGTCACTTGTTAGATGCTTTTATCCAAAGCGACTTACATACTCAATACTGTGGGCAATTCCCACAGGAGCGATTTGGGGTGAAGCGTCTCAGGGACACAACGACATGTGCAGTGGGGTTTTCTGCCACACGCAACAACAGGCTGGCTAACAGTTGGTTGCTGAAGTTTTTAAAGGAGAAACATATTAAGTGTTACTGAGGGTTAGAAGGGGGGCTTGATATAGTTTCTTTGTCACATTTTAGTACTCTAACTAGGTCTAAATGATTTGTAAAACATAAGTAGTTCATTCTATTTAGACTGATATTGCTGTTGAGATATTATTAATGATATTGGAGGGAGACATTCTTTTTTAACTATCATGTTGGGATTTGTTATACAATATAATACAGTTTTACATCTAAGCAGAGGCTCATGCAATATTAATATCGCACAACCCCTTATTAAGATTCTGATAAAATCACAATTAATTGTTCATGATAACCACTCTCACGCCTCCCTCCCACAATCTCATGAAGTCCCTAACACTGAACAGTCTGGTGGGTCATGGTCCAGGACATGTGATATTGTGTTCCCATACAATAATAAAATGTCTTGGTCAAATTGATATGAAACAACCAATGAGACAAACATCGCTGTGACACTGATGTTCCATCCTGACTTGGAGTGACATATGCACGATTAAAAATATGATTATGATCTGCTCAGTTAATTTAGCTGATTCAATTATATTAAGTTAATATATCCTTTATTCTTCAGTTCAAACAATGTTCAAACCAATTTAAACCAAAAAAGCATCCTCATTAATGAAGTTATGAGTTATTTTACCATTAAAGCCCAATGTGACATTTCAGATATTTGACACTAGGGGGGGGTTATTTATCAGAAATGTGGTCTATATATGTTCTCCTTAATGTTCCCAAAAGTAGAAACGGGTCTGGGTTCTTATGGATTAAACAACTGGCTTACAACGCAAAAAACTGAAGCTCACTGCTTTATCAGTCAACTTGGCCAGTAATAGATATCTCACTGACTGTAATGAGGGAAAGACAGTAAAGAGTGCTGAATAGTGCTTGCGGAGTACATTGACATGAAAGACAAGACTGTTATTTTGCAAGTTTTTTTTATTAAGAACATTTGAAAGAGCTATAATGTCCACATTTCACATGTTCACAGTGCAACAAGGAATAGAACACCTTGACTGGCAACACAAATAGGGACAAACATATTGACTGGAATAAAAAGTTAAATGCTTTCAGTCCACATGTTCACAGTGCAACAAGGAATAGAACACCTTGACTGGCAACACAAATAGGGACAAACATATTGACTGGAATAAAAAGTTAAATGCTTTCAGTCCACATGTTCACAGTGCAACAAGGAATAGAACACCTTGACTGGCAACACAAATAGGGACAAACATATTCACTAAAGCTCGGTGCTTTAATAGTCTTCTGGAAAGAGTGACTGCCTGTAGGAAAACTGAGATGGTTGCCGTGGGGGGTCAGAGGTCATCGTGTGCAGGTGTGGTGTAGAGGGGTTTGGTGTGTAGGCAGGCTGTGGACTTCTATGCCGGTACGGTGACTGTCCCGGGAATTGTCCACCGTTGCGCATGCATGAATTCCCTCATCAGGGAAAAGCCCTCCCGAATGTTATCATTCATCTGCTGAAGGCTTTCCGCGTTGCGGATGGATGTTTGTTGATTTTGCTCCATTAGCTCCACCATCCTCCTTTTTAGTTTGAGGTCCTCCTGCATGGCATGGTCAGCTGGAAGTTTTCTCCTCAGGCGTCACTTCTGTGGCCGTTCAGCTGCACCTTGAATAAACCAGAGCATTTTTTTATTATTACACAATAGGACCATAGCCACCAGATAACATAAGACCAAAGGCATGTTGTGAAATAGCTTTCAATACCTTCTACTTTTAGAAATACAACAGCTTTCAATACCTTCTACTTTTACAAATAAAACAGCTTTCAATACAGTCTACTTTTACAAATACAACAGCCCTCAATACCTTCTACTTTTACAAATACAACAGCTCTCAATACCTTCTAATTTTATAAAGCTTAAACATGTTCAGTTTTTCTGTGGAAGGTACTGTATGTAGTCTGTTAAGCTTGAAATAATGAACATACCTGGAGCAGATCCCTGCGATGCTGTACAACCGCAGCAGCTGGCAGACTTCCGCTAGATTCGCTCGACTCTGGCGAATCGTTGGAACGCTCCAAACTCCGGGGTGAAGTAGATGACTCTTCCAGGTCCCCCGTCTCCATGCCCGACGTAAGGCTGCGCGTAGCAGGCGAGCCACCCCAGACCTCTTCACATAGCTCAAAAAACATGAGCACAACACGTCCTTCAGGCCACTCCGACGCCCAGTGTCCACCGCATGCCTGTACTTCATGCGGATTTGTTTTAGCTTGGCGGCAAGCTGGGCCTTTGTAATGGCGCCCACGCGGTGAGGGAAATCCTTCCCTGTGTCGGTCGTCGGATACTGCGCCTGAAATAAATCGACTATATCGCTATACTTTGACTTGCAGGACTCCCAGTCAGCATTCTCCTGTATTTTAGTCGTTTTGTATTCTAATGTGATCCTAAGTAGAAGTTCTACCTCATCATCAGTCCAAGAAAACAGATCCTTTCTTGCATCAGCCATCTTCTACCTTGTTTGTTTGTTTGTTTTGTGCCTTACACATCCGGGGGGGGGACTTTATACTCGCTGCTTTTGTGGAGGAAGTTACAGCGCCACATACAGGCTCCTGGATATGTACTGCAGCTTCTCCAGCGGTTGGAGCTAAACGGAGCGTTCTCGTGTGGGCAGACACTATCCGGATAGCTATCCGTGTGGACGGAAGCTTGTTTGCGATTACGTTTGCGTTAATCCTATGTGTTTAGCCGTTTTCGTCCTCGTGTGGCCGGGGTCTCAGTGAGAGCAAGGAAATCCAGAGACTGCAGGGAGGCGTAGCCAGATATGGAGTCAGCCTTAGGAACAGCTGACTGGCAGTTCCACAGGCCACCTGAAACTAGATGTTGGATTTCAGTGGAGCATGTGGGATAGATGAGAGCAGGCCGGTTATAGCGATTATGAGATACACGGGGCCAGTGATAATTGCGAGAAGACACATGAACAGGAATGGAGAAAATACACATGATTATAGCATGAGGGGCTAGAAAACTAAAGAAAAGAGAAATAAGACACCAGCTCAATCAGAGTAGGATTTGCCTCCTCTTTGCCTCCCTCGTGACTCCCGCAGGACTCTAATGTATTTGTCAGTCTTTGACTCCCACAGGACTCTAATGTCTTTGTCAGTCTTTGACTCCCGCAGGACTCTAATGTCTTTGTCAGTCTTTGACTCCCGCAGGACTCTAATGTCTTTGTCAGTCTTCGGCTGTCTGACGCTCCAGGAAAGAGCTACCTAAAATGGACGCCTGATTGCTGAGTTCTCACAGCTGTGGGGCCACGCCCCTCTAATTAGTTAACTCTCTACAGCTGATGGGCGACAGTAGACTGGCCCTGCCTATATTGTAATGCAGGCTTGAGTGCCCCTACTGAGACCTGTGTAGCAGGTTTCGCTTGAGCAGATCTGAGATTTAAAATCTCTCAAAAGCGCCGTTTTAGCTACAATAACTACAGAACAATTATACAGAGTAGAATAAATGAAACAGAGAAGTCTAATTAAACAAGAATATAACTTACAGTGGTTGCTGCGTCAATAGGTAAAGTCGTCACCCGGTCCAGATGCACACTCTTTTCTAAAATATATGTTTTTTAGAAGCGTTACTTTGATTTCTTTCATGTTATTTTAAACACATTACTTTTTCATATTTTTTCAACATACTGTGATATTTAGTTTTTTGTCTTTCTCTCCTTTTTCCATTATATTTTTTGAAAAACTACATAGTGATTTCTAGCAAAATACAACATGCAACTAATACATTATACAAAATTACGACTTTTTGCGATATTTTCAACACAATATACTTGTACCTTTTTTTTATAGGGCTTCAAGATATTTTGCATGTCATGCATAAACACGGTGTCATCTTTCTTGAAACTGACGTGCTGTCCGTTTTACAAAACAAGTTATGTTTTCTGCTTCTTCATCCTCTGAATTTTCCTCCCCCGTCCCTCTTCATTCACAACAACAATCAAGGTGGATCTGTGAAATGAAACACCTCTTCCCTAAGCGTGACTTCCCTAATGAGGGCATGCGTCTAGGGCAGTAGGGTCTAAATCGATTGGCCAGATATACTAACATGCAGAGCGTACGGTATGTTTGAAAAAAAGACTAACCATTTATCCAGTTCAAGCTGTCTTTAAGATGTGACATCGCGCACTGACTATTTCCCGTAAAATCGTGACAAACTATTACTTATTCTTAAATGTGATCTCTTGCTGCATGGTTGAAAATGATAGATGAAAAATAACTTTTTTTAAAAGAGTCAAGTTTTTCAAGATCAGATACAGGTCAAGAAAATGCATAGAGGAGGTATGGTGTTGGCTCATTAGCCCTCTCACTCTTCTTAGAATGATCCTGTGCAATTATAGTTAATAAAAGTAATTACACATTAGTTCACAAATCCATACAACTAAAAGAGAATATCCTTAGGTATCACTATTAAAACCTAAATAAGATATTTTGAAAATAACCTCTTTGCAAACAGATACTTCTTGTAGTTAACAGTTTCACAAAAACTTGAAAAGAAACATCCTTAGCCAGCACACACCATTTAAAACAAAACTTGAATCAAGTATCACTATTAAAACCTAAATAAGATCTTTTGAAAATAACCTCTTTGCAAACAGATACTTCTTGTAGTTAACAGTTTCACAAAAACTTGAAAAGAAACATCCTTAGCCAGCACACATCATTTAAAACAAACCCTGAATCAAATCTAGAGAGGACAATAACGTTTTTAGATGTCTTGGTGAGTGAAAATTAATGGCTGTTTTTATTTAATTTGAGCTTATTTCTTTTTAAAAAAAACTAACTTCATCCCTCTCTTCTCATCTCACAGAGAGTGTCTTAATTAACATAGGCATTTACACCCCAGGCTATCTCAACCCCCCCCACATCAAGGGGGGGCTCCAACGTGTGTGTGTGTGTGTGTGTGTGTGTGTGTGTGTGTGTGTGTGTGTGTGTGTGTGTGTGTGTGTGTGTGTGTGTGTGTGTGTGTGTGTGTGTGTGTGTGTGTGTGTGTGTGTGTGTGTGTGTGTGTGTGTGTGTGTGTGTGTGTGTGTGTGTGTGTGTGTGTGTGTGTGTGTGTGTGTGTGTGTGTGTGTGTGTGTGTGTGTGTGTGTGTGTGTGTGAATTGTTCTTAAAGGTAAGGGTTAGATAATTTGGAGAAAACTGAGAGTCTTTTGCAGTCAAACCGGGGAAAATCTGCCACTTTCTCACAGAGCCCCTCCTCCAACACACATGAACGCGCGCATGACCAAAAGAGGGCACGAGACTGTAGGCGTCTGACCCCCGCACTGCTGCTGCATTCGTTTCTTGACTGACGCTACGGACGGATGGCTGTAAATTGTCACAGGCTGATTAACCCCCATTCGAGGCGTCTCTTGCCATTTTTCTTTTTTGAAAAGGTGACTGGGTAAATGGAATTGCTGTCTTGTTATTTCGTTTGAGCGTATTTCTACCTAATTCCACCCCCCACTATTTGTTGGCGTCATAGCCCCGGAAGGGGTAGAAAAGGGGGGATCCTGGGAGGGGGGCTGGGTAGACAGTCTCACACATAACTTCAAAGAGACACCTAGATTAACATCAAAGGTTTATAGCACACCAGTGTGAAGTCACACCGGCCTGTTATAACACTTCACATCAAAGGGCAAACACCAAAGGCTAATTAGATTAGACATCATAATTAGATTAGACGTCATAATTAGATTAGACAACAAAAGGGCTCTGAGGGGGGCCCTACAATAGAACTTCAAAGAGACTTAATCAACACATCAAAGAATTAGACAACAAAGGCGCTAGCCCCCGGGCTAGCTCACATAACACACATCAAAAGGATCTCGAACAAAAGCGCTACACAGGGGGGCATTTCACCCCTAGGGCGTGATGACCCCTCACCCCCACATCAAAGGATGTCGATCAATGGGAGGCGGGACTTAGCTCATTTGCATAATTGGGGGCGTGTCCACCTGTCACTTGTTATGCATACTAATGAGACGAAAGCGGTATCATTACTACTACTCACTCAATCTAGCAAAAATAAAGCTGTTTCAAATCAATGTGTCTGTGTAAACAAAAGCATAACCTTTAGGATGTGTGTTCGTTTGTGAGGCTTGTAGCCCTCACAGGGCTTAACAGGTTAAGAAGTTATGAAGTTGTGTCACTATTGACTAACATCTCTCTTCTGCGTTACACAATGGTTAAGACAAAGCAAAGACAAAGACAAAGCGTGGGATGCTTTGAACAATGAGAGAAATTGTTTCCATTGTAAGTGCGAGATGCTTATCTGCAGCTGAAGGATATTGATAGACCACAAAAGATCACCCACAGGTTGCTGGTTTGGCATGTGACAAATGACCTTAACCCTTGTGTTATGTTCACATTTCGCACCCTTTGGTAATGTTCGGGTCAAATTGACCCGGGACATATTGACCTGGGACATATTTCAGGGTTTAAAAAAAATACAGAACTAAATTCAACATGCACAATTCCTTATATATATATAGTCTTTAACTCATTCCCCAACAATATAAATGAAATATATGATTAGTTTTTGAAAATACTCTTTGCTAGATCAAATGGAAGTGTCCATCGTTTTTTGTGATAAAAATGTAATTTATGTTAAAAAATATACACTGTATACACTGTAATACACTGTAATAAAAACTAAGTTTACATTTTGCTCATGCTTTTCTAGGACACATGTAAAAGAAACATTTTTTCATTAATGTTTATTATTTTTAATCTGTCATATAATAATCAAAGCCCTGAAGGAAATAAAGTAATTTATCAGCAATTGGAACACAAGAACCACATCCAAAAGTATTTGGCTGTGAAATATAGAGAGAATGAAACATCCATATAAATGACATAGAACAGATATAAACACAAAGCAAATAAAAACAATTAACAGTCACTATTCATAAAATACAAATACAGTATATCCGAGAAATATATTGATGAAGTGACGCTGCAGAACATCATGTGAGTCAATGGGCAAGTCCGTTTAGGAAACACATGATGTGCAGAACTTATTCGTGTGTATAGCACAGATGTACTTGTTGCAGTTGCTGCATGTAGTCTGTGTCTTGGAGTCCTTTGAGGGTCCACAGACCTCACAGCTGGCTGTGGGGGTCTTCCAGAAGCTCACTGTGGGGGTCTTCTTCCACTTTATCCTCATCTTCAGAAATGTCTTCCTGTCCCACTTCACCGTGATCCTCTAATGCATTCCACTCACAAGATCTAAAATGTTTATAATGTTCCAGGATAGTTTTGTGTACACACTACAAAGGGTAAAGATCAAGGGAAAAGCTCACTGTGGGGGTCTTCTTCCACATTATCCTCATCTTCAGAAATGTCTTCCTGTACACACACACACACACACACACACACACACACACACACACACACACACACACACACACACACACACACACACACACACACAACACACACACACACACACACACCACACACACACACACACACACACACACACACACCACACACACACACACACACACACACACACACACACACACACACACACACACACACACACACACACACACACACACACACACACACACACACACACACACACACACACACACACACACACACACACACACACACACACACACACTTACACACACACACACACGTGCCCGGGTCAGATTGACCCGAACCTCTTATGAAGGACATAAATGCGGGTGGGCATTTTTTCATAAGTAGAAAAAAATAAAAACAATTCCACATGTCCTTCACTATAAATAGGACCCGGCCATTGAGTTTCAGGTTGAACTAAAATATCCTTATATTTTGTTTTATTCATTGAAAATGGAAATCGGGTCAATTTGACCCGAACACCACACAAGGGTTAAACGGCTTCTCTTATTTGACATGTATGACGCAACAGCGTAGAGTCTAAAGTTGGGACATACTCTTTGTAAATTTCTTCCTGGTTTATGATTATCACTGTTTGTGTAGTTTTTCAGAAGGAAATAAAAGCTGCTCAGTATTCTGAAAGAGCTCATCCAAGCACAACCATGAATCGGCTGATTCTGATTGCAGGTAAGGCCCTACGAAAAGCATGACATGTTTTATACTGTTTTACCTAATATTCACTGACTATTTTTAATTTGAAGGTCTCTGTCTTTCTCTGGGCGGTTTGGGTGAGTTCACATTTGATATTAAGACTGAACATATTTGGTAGCAACTTAACAAAGTGTACTTGTTAAATGTGAAGTATTAATGAATCTGCAATATTAACGAAACAATATAGTCTCCTCCTCCAGACTGGTGTGTTATTTCACCAACTTCTCCCAATATCGTCCCGGCCAAGGGGAGTTTTTAATTCAAAATGTTGATCCGAACCTGTGCACCCACCTGATTTACGCCTTTTCTGGTATAAATAATGCAAATGAGTTGGTCACCGTCGTAATGAATGATGATACACTCTATAAATCCTTTAATAGACTCAAACAGAGGTCAGTTAAACAATGTTGTATCTTTTCCTTTTTTATCTCAGTTAAATGTTGCAGGCAACTAAATGTATATATTCTCACAGTAATCCAGACCTGAAGACACTCTTGGCAGTCGGAGGCTGGAACTTTGGAACAGAAATGTGAGATATTTAGCAAAACGCAATAGCTAAAGATCACTGTATTGCACTTCCTCAAAATCCTGTTTTGTTTCCCTGAAACTTATACCCAGATTCACAAGAATGGCGTCAACACAAGCTAACAGAAATGCATTCATCCAGTCTTCTATCAAACTACTGAGAAAATATAGTTTTGATGGACTTGATTTGGACTGGGAATACCCCGGTGCAAAAAGTAGTCCCCCGGAGGACAAGCAGATATTCACGCTGTTATGCAAGGTCAGATAAAAAAATCACTGTTTTGGTGCACAAGTTGTGTTTATTATGAACCAACATTGACTTCTCCATGATTTATGGTGTACAGGAACTTTTCGAGGCTTATCAGGCTGAGGGAACATCAACTGGCCGGCCGAGTTTAATGATCTCTGCTGCTGTGTCTGCTGGGAAAGGAACCATTGATGCTGGCTATGAAATCGCGGAGATTGCAAAGTACACCAACATGTGACTCAACACATTTTCCCCATCAAGCTTTCATCATGTTTTGGTTGACTTAATGTCACATGATTTTCACCAGGTACCTGGATTTTATTAATGTGATGACGTATGACTTCCATGGCACCTTGGAGAGTGTGACTGGACACCACAGCCCCTTGTACAAGGGATCCCATGAGACCGGGGACAATGTCTACTTAAATACTGTGAGTACAGAGAATCATATTTTATCTGCATCACAAATGTAAAGATGTTGTTCAATGTTAATGCAAAATGTCTCAACGTTTCTTTTTTCAATGCACATTTTCGATTTGCATTCAATTTAAAGCCACGCCCATGCCAGTGTACAATAAATGAAATGCATAAGTATTGTAAAACCGATTTTAAACTTGGCCGAGATGGACATGATGGCATTCTTAAATCCAACAAAGCACAAAGAAGAAAACATTGAAAAATAATAATTTACTTGTAGCAGATCTGATGTTTATATAAACATCAGATCTGTGTTGAGCGATGAGACTAATGTTCCTCATATCATTACAAGATATTTCCATTTCATTTAGCTTTGTTTAAGGTTGAACAATAGTCAAGTCAATGATTTGATTTTAACTAGATAATAATACAAACTGTTCATCTCAATGAGCCCAGCTTCTTCTAGTAAAAGTAGAAGATGGAAACGCCATTCATTTGCATTATCTGGCAGATTTCTGAACATTTCTGTTAACAAATTTGGTTGGAAACTTAGACTTCTGTCCATTTGTTTTTATACAAATTGTAGGACTTCGCCATGCAATATTGGCGGAACAATGGCATACCTGTCGAAAAGCTAAATATGGGCTTCGCAACATATGGCAGGACATTTCATCTGTCCACTCAATCCAGTCAGGTTGGAGCGGCAGCGAGCGGTCCCGCTTCTGCTGGGGCTTTTACAAGAGAGGCCGGAATTTTGTCCTATTATGAGGTGAAACTGGAAACAATTACATGAATGTAACCCTCAGTCTTTGTTGTATTAGTAAGTCTATGTTACTGATTACATTTAACCCTCTTTTCAGATTTGCACTTTTCTTAAAGGGGCCAGTGTTCAGATGATTGAGGACCAGAAAGTTCCATATGCCGTCAAACAGAGTGAGTGGGTTGGATATGACAACAAAGAAAGTTTTGCAACTAAGGTATTCCTTATTTTCTACAAAGATATATTTATACCAAATATGTCTTTTCAGTTAACAAAAGTTCAACGTCTAGGTGCATACATTATTAAAGTGTTTCTGTGCCTATTTATTCAGGTCAGTTACTTAAAGGAAAACAGATTTGGAGGAGCTTTTGTCTGGACTCTGGACTTTGATGACTTTAATGGGCAGTTCTGTGGACAGGGAAACTATCCCCTCATCAGCACCCTCCACTCTCTTATGGCCATAAGTAGGTAGAAATTATATATTGCAAGTGAAAATATGTTGACAGTTTATAACTTCTTATACAGTAATGTACTATTGTTTCTACAGATCCTTCTCCCGCTCCTACTGGAGAAACCCCAAATCCAGTGACTCCGTCTACAAACCCAAATAAGCCTCAGCCCACCACTCGCCCCAACCCAGATCATTTCTGTGCTACAAAGCCTGATGGGGTTTATTCCAAACCTGATGCCCCAAGATCCTTCTACAACTGTAGCCACGGCGTCACCGGGATCATGAACTGCCCGGCTACTCTGGTCTTTAAGGACAGCTGCAAATGCTGTGACTGGCCCTAACAGCTGGCACATTCATTTATGTTACAGAAGGTGTGATAGCTTTAGTGAATATGAAAGTTCATTTTAAAATAGAACTCAGGTTCTTGTGAGACTATTCACTTTTTATTAAATTGAAGATCTACCGTAATTAATTCCCATTAATTACTTTTTTCTGTCTTAAACAGCTGATTCAACCTTTCTCTAATAGATTAAACACACAATTGTCATCCTCAAACATGACTTCTGGGTTTCTTTTCATTATACTGCAACATAAAATATAAATGTAGAGAGGTTTGTGTGCCCTGATGAACCTGGGGGCTGTGTTGTCTGGAACCTTGTGTTCCTGGTAGGGTCTCCCATGGCAAATTGGTCTCAGGCAAGGGGCCAGACTAAGATTGGTTCAAAAGACCTCATGAAAGAAAAACTAAGAAGTGAGGATACCCGGCCCGGAGGAAGCCCGGGGTCCCCTTCTGGAGCCAGGCCCAGAAGGAGGACTCGTCGGCGAGCGTCTGGTGGCCGGGCTTGCCACGGAGCCCGGCCGGGCCCAGCCCGAAAAGGCAACGTGGGCAACACCTCCGCTTCTCCGTCCCGCGGGCCCACCACCTACGGGAAACATCGATGGGGTCGGGTGCGCTGCCAGAAGGGTGGCAGTGAAAGCGGAGGGTCTCGACGGACCAGACCCGGGCGACAGAAGCTGGCTTTGGGGACGTGGAACGTCACCTCTCTGGGGGGGAAGGAGCCGGAGCTTGTGCGGGAGGTGGAGCGTTACCAGTTGGATCTGGTTGGGCTCACCTCTACGCACAGCGTCGGCTCTGGAACCTTACTTCTGGATAGGGGTTGGACTCTATTCTTCTCCGGAGTTGCTCAAGGTGTGAGGCGCCGGGCGGGTGTGGGGATACTCACAAGTCCCCGGTTAGGTGCTTCGTTGTTGGAGTTTACCCCAGTGGACGAGAGGGTCGCCTCCCTACGCCTGCGGGTTATGGGGGGGAAAACTCTGACTGTTGTGTGTGCTTATGCACCCAACAGCAGTTCAGAGTATACGGCCTTCTTGGAGACCCTGGAAAGAGTCCTGTATGGGGCTCCTGAAGGGGACTCTTTAATCTTGCTGGGAGACTTCAACGCACATGTGGGCAATGATGGAGACACTTGGAGGGGCGTGATTGGGAGGAACGGCCCCCCTGATCTGAACCGGAGTGGTGGTTTGTTACTGGACTTCTGTGCTAGTAATGGATTGGCCATAACAAACACCATGTTCGAACATAAGGTTGCTCATAAGTGTACGTGGTACCAGAGCACCCTAGGCAGAAGGTCCATGATCGATTTCGTTATCGTATCATCGGACCTGAGGCCGTATGTTTTGGACACTCGGGTAAAGAGAGGGGCGGAGTTGTCAACTGATCACCATCTGGTGGTGAGTTGGGTCGAGTGGCGGGGGAAGCCTCTGGATAGACCTGGTAAGCCCAAACGTGTAGTTCGGGTGAACTGGGAACGTCTGGAGGAGGCCCAAGTTCAGGAGGCCTTCAACTCACACCTCCGGCGGAGCTTTTCGGGCATTCCTGTGGAGGTTGGGGACATTGAACCAGAGTGGTCGGTGTTCAAAGCCTCTATTGCCGAAGCCGCGGCGGGGAGCTGTGGTCTCAAGGTCCTAGGTGCCTCAAGGGGCGGTAACCCTCGAACCTCCTGGTGGACACCGGTGGTCAGGGAAGCCGTCCGACTGAAGAAGGAGGCCTTCAGGGATTTGTTATCCCGGGGGACTCCCGAGGCAGTTGCAAGGTACCGACAGGCCCGAAGGGCAGCAGCCTCATCCGTGGCCGAGGCAAAGCAGCGGGTGTGGGAGAAGTTCGGAGAAGACATGGAGAAGGACTTTCGGGCGGCACCAAAGTTGTTCTGGAAAACTGTCCGACACCTCAGGAGGGGGAAGCAGGGAACCATCCAAGCTGTGTACAGTAAGGATGGGACGTTGTTGACCTCAACTGATGGAGTGTTAGGGCGTTGGAAGGAACACTTTGAGGAACTCCTGAACCCGACAACTCCGCCCTCTATGTTAGAGGCAGAGCTGGAGTATGACGGGGGATCAACACCAATCTCCCGGGGGGAGGTCACTGAGGTCGTCAAACAACTCCACAGTGGCAAAGCCCCGGGGTGGATGAGATCCACCCGGAAATGCTGAAGGCTCTGGGTGTTGAGGGACTGTCATGGTTGACACGTCTCATCAACGTTGCGTGGAAGTCGGAAACAGTACCGAAGGAGTGGCAGACCGGGGTGGTGGTCCCCCTTTTTAAAAAGGGGGATCAGAGGGTGTGTGCCAATTACAGAGGCATCACACTACTCAGCCTCCCCGGGAAAGTTTACTCTAAGGTACTCGAAAGGAGGGTCAGGCCGATTGTCGAACCTCAGATTGAGGAGGAACAATGCGGATTCCGTCCTGGTCGTGGAACGACGGATCAGCTTTTTACTCTCGCAAGGATCCTGGAGGGGGCCTGGGAATACGCTTATCCGGTCTACATGTGTTTTGTGGACTTGGAGAAGGCGTATGACCGAGTTCCCAGGGAGTTACTGTGGGAGGTGCTGCGGGAGTATGGGGTGAGGGGGTCTCTACTCAGGGCCATCCAATCTCTGTACTCCCAAAGCGAGAGCTGTGTCCGGGTCCTCGGCAGTAAGTCGGACCCATTTCCGGTGAGGGTTGGCCTCCGCCAGGGCTGCGCTTTGTCACCAATCCTGTTTGTAATATACATGGATCGGATTTCGAGGCGTAGTCATGGGGGGGGGGGGTCTGCAGTTCGGTGGACTAAGGATTGCACCACTGCTTTTTGCAGATGATGTGGTTCTAATGGCTTCATCGGTCTGCGACCTTCAGCACTCACTGGATCGGTTCGCAACCGAGTGTGAAGCGGCTGGGATGAGGATCAGCACCTCCAAATCTGAGGCCATGGTTCTCAGCAGGAAACCGATGGACTGTCCACTTCAAGTAGGGAATGAGTCCTTACCCCAAGTGAAGGAGTTCAAGTATCTCGGGGTCTTGTTCTCGAGTGAGGGAACAATGGAGCGTGAGATGGGCCGGAGAATCGGAGCAGCGGGAGCGGTACTGCAGTCGCTTTACTGCACCGTTGTGACGAAAAGGGAGCTGAGCCAGAAGGCAAAGCTCTCTGTCTACCGGGCCATTTTCGTTCCTACCCTCACCTATGGTCATGAAGGATGGGTCATGACCGAAAGAACGAGATCGCGGATACAAGCGGCCGAGATGGGTTTTCTCCGCAGGGTGGCTGGTGTCTCCCTTAGGGATAAGGTGAGAAGTTCGGTCATCAGGGAGGGACTCGGAGTTGAGCCGCTCCTCCTTCGCGTCGAAAGGAGCCAGTTGAGGTGGTTCGGGCACCTAGTTAGGATGCCACCTGGGCGCCTCCCTAGGGAGGTGTTCCAGGCACGTCCAGCTGGGAAGAGACCAAGGGGTAGACCTAGGACCAGGTGGAGGGATTATATCTCTTCGCTGGCCTGGGAGCGCCTTGGGATCCCCCAGTCAGAGCTGGTTGATGTCGCCAGGGAAAAGAAAGTTTGGGGCTCTCTGCTGGAACTGCTACCCCCGCGACCCGACCACGGATAAGCGGAAGAAGATGGATGGATGGATGGAACTAAAGCCCAGCTGATTGGGATTGATAGCAGCTTTGTTCCTGACACCTGCACACCAGATCTCCCCCATGTATTCCAGCAGAGACACACAAACGGATACAGAGGGGGGGAGGGAGGAGGCTAGGCAGAGGCAGAGGGCCTGACAGGGCATCTGAAATGAATTTTTAAAGAAGATTTCTCCTTGCTTTTCCACCAGCTGGTGGCTCCCTAGGTCACCGCGCAGCTCAGTTTTGCGTACATACTGGCGTGGAACTAGTGGCCCTGTTTAAAATACCAAAGATTTTTTCCAACTTACACAGCAAACTGCTGCATAATGATGTAGATGTCACAGTGGCAATCAGTGACTAGGCTGTTGTTGTGGGAAGTTAACCTTTATAGTGGCACCCTCATTAAATGATGCCTGACATTAAAATCTGTCTTCACATACTTTTGCTCACAAGACAGGTTCAACAGAGTGTGTTTGCCATGCGCTTGCTTAGATGTCTTTGGTGCCCATAAACTATAATTAACTAATGATTTAATATAACTGCAGGGGTGTGGCAACATACACTGGTGGCATTTTAGTTAAAAAACAGTATGCCATATAAATTACATACCAGCCTAGGTTTGTCCTTAATCACACCCAGTGAGCAGAATGTCTTTACACGCATGTTGTCCTCGTATCTTCCCAGCTGCACTCTAGGTCAGTTTTTCCTGTAATCCACACACACGCACAATGTAAACACTTTAAGTGAAGTGAAAAAACATAAAAAATACAATAGTCAACACACGATGGGCCTAATGTGGAAACATGTTTTTTCTCTTTGTGTTCATATCCACATTGTTTTATTATTCCGGGAGTACCAATTGATTGCTGTGATACTAATATTTTTTCTCATATTTGCTGGTAAGAGAAAGTTTAACAAGCATTCAAGTATGAATACACATTTTCCTTTTATAGTTCACAAATTGTATTTAGGGAAACAAAACTTTTCAATCTCATTATGGATTATAAACAACATTGGAAGATATCGCTTGTTTCAGATTTTGAATGGCTTTAAATACTGCTTTTCGATGCTTTAGCCGTTCAAGTCTTTGATAACACCACCACTGATAGTCTGGAAAACCACACTATTCAACAGCACCTCAATTTTGCCACTTCTGACGTAATTCTTCTTATAGTGTTTTTTGGTGGCGTCTTTTTAAAATTCTTGGGCATGTGCGAGAGTATTTCGACACGGCATAACACCTGCGCTTCTGTTTAGGAGGCGTAACCTAACGTCTGCAATTTAGTATCAAATGGAATTCATTATTCAGCCCATTTGGGTAACAGCAGATTTGGATGTTCTTCTCAAATGTTTCTCTTGACAGCAGGGGCGTTGCCTGGACCTGGAAACATTCGGGGCTTAGCCCACAGTGGCGGCGCTACAGTCGAATTTTCTACTGCAAGACTCCCCACACGCACATACACAATTGCGCCATCTGGTGTCACAAACGTGTGTCTGCATTAGCTTTGTTACGGCAATGGATTATGGGAGATTCTCATAGCACGTGAGGATTTCTTGAGGGTAACGGTGTGTCCACACAGCAGCTTTGACCAAATCTTGAAAATCCTGGAGCTGGGCGTGTCTG